GAGCGGCGCCGGGGAGCGCGGCCCTTCCTCTGGGCCGACAGCCGGCCCTGCAGCCGGACTGCACGGGCCTCCGTGGGCAGGAAGACCCCAGTCTGCGGAGACACTGCCCTGGCTTTTCCTCCACAGGCACAGGGACCCCACTCGGCGCCCCTGGCCCAGCTCCCTCTAGCCGAGGGCACAGAGCTACTCCAGGAAAGGATTCCTTCTGTGCCTCCGGTGGGCTAACAATTGACAGCCCCGATGTTCAGATGAAAGGGGCTGAGGGTAGCCACGCTGCAGATCTGCCACCTTCAGAACCGCCAGTCTCCGCCCACAGCCGCTCCTAGAAGTAACTGGGTGATGTTGCCAGCTGGTCCTCCGAACTGGGAGGTGGACAGAGGCCAGCACCCAGAGAGATGCCACCTCCTGGCCAGGAGCAGAGGGCAGAGGCGAAGAGAGGCCCCGAGGCTAGGGTGGTTGCTTTAAGCCTGCTGCAGCCTTGCAGGGGAGAAATGCTTTCGGGCCCCATCAGCAGATCTGGATTATAAATCAGTCCAGACAGAAGCTTTTGTTCTGGGTTTAAACTTGGCGTCTGAAGAGCAGAGACCAGAAGAGTAGAGGAGATAACTGGGGAGGCAGCCCAGTTTGGACTCAGTAACTGGGTCTTTGCTGATGCACATAAAGGCCCCTTCTCCCGCTCTGGCCGAGGCCATATTTCCCAGCTCCTTTACGCCAGAGGAAAGCTGTGTAGCTGTGGAGGTGCTGGAGACAGGGAGCAGCCAGCCGCCAGGACGGGTGGGCAGCAGGCTTTGCCTCAGCGGTGGAGGGAGATGCCGTGTGTGACCTCAGTCGGGGGCACTCGGTATCCATTTAAGTGGCAACCTGTATGCAGATCCCCTCACTGTTCTGTGCTGTAGACTTTGCAACCTGCCGCCTCTACATTTTCTTCCGCTCCACCCTCAGGACCACTTTGTAAAAGTGGGCATTGTTTGTCCCACTTTGTAGATACAGTGAGTCTGAGAGAGACCTGCTTGAAGTCACATAGATATAAACAAGGTCAGAATGTTAAATTGGGCCCTGGGACTCCAAATCCATCTTTCCACTAAGTCACATTGGATCCGGGCAACTTTTAGCCCCCAAATGCTCCATTTCCTGCTGTTCTGCCTCCCCTCCCAGCCCCTCCCCCACGGCCACCCACTAGGTGTGAGGGTTACCAGACAGAGACTTGAGCTCCTCCTGCAAGATAGCCCCAGTGGAAAGTTTCAGATGGTGGTTTGGTTTCACTGGCAGGGACAGCCTTCCGCGTACCCCAAGGCAGGCTTCTGTGTTCCAATAACACACTCCAGGGAGCCCTTCCCTTCCAAAGGCTCCTCCCCAAAGATAGGGCTGCAGCCCCCACACCGCTTTGCCACCTGCGCCCATTTCCTCTGCGCTCGGTTCACTCCCAGTACTGGCCTTTTCCGGGGCTGAGTGAGCAGGGGATAGTTTCCTGCATGACCATTTGCTCATGATTCATACTTCAAAAAAAATGTTTTCATTGATTTTTGAGAGAGAGAGGAAGGGAGAGGGATAGAAAGATAGAAACACCGATAAGAAACCTCATGGATCTGCTGCCTCCTGGATGCCCCTCAAAAGGGATGGAGCCCACAACCCCGGGCACGTGCCCTGACCAGGTGACCTCTTGGTTCCTAGGTCGATGCTCAACTGCTGAACTATACCAGCGGGCATGAGTCATACTTTTTAATATAAGCACAATTGGTCTAAAATGAGAATTCCTAGGTCTTAAGATAAAAATTTTACGACAAAAAACAAACAAACAAAACTACTGTGTATCTATCGACCTCCCTGGGGCCTGTCTGGCATATTCAGTGGAAGTGCCCACCTCAGCCTCAGGCCCTGACACTCCTACTTGCCCCACTAACTCAACTGCTGAGGCCAAGTCAAGGAAAGGCCGGCGCTAAACGCCTTCTGAGGTTTGCTCGGATGCACTGGCAGCTGAGGCTGGCCCCACAGGTGGGCCCAGGAGTCACACCTGGAAAGCAAGGCTCCACTCTCCCCCACACGCATGGGTCCTGCGCCAGAGTGGCCTTCACTTGAGCCCCTTCCCCCTCTCCCCGCTGTTCTGAGGCAGCTGACAGGAGGAGCCCTGCTTCCCACTGGGGTTCTCTGGTCAACATGCCTGGCTACTTCCCAGGAGCCTGGAGCTGCTGTGAACCCAAGGGGAAATGAGAAAGCCTGGGTCAGCCACCCTGCAGGGATCTCCCCGAGGGCCTGGGACTGAGGTCAGTGGGGACAGAGGAAAAGGACTTCCGCTCTACTTCCTCCTGGAGGACAGTTATCAAAGCCACCCACCTGGGAAGCCTTTCCCTTCCCAGCCCCTCCCTGCCACCATCACCCAAAGGAAGCAGGAAAACATCCGTCACCACAGCCCCGGATGCTGCTCTCAGGGGCCTCAGGATGCCCCTCCCTTTCCCCAGGGCTCCATCTGGAAAGGGCAGGGGTGCCAGGACCAGCACCTGTGAATTCTTGGCCGAGAGCAGGCTGAGTCTCCAACTGGCCCCAGACTAGTTTGAGATCAGGTCTGCTCCAGGCCAGTTCCAGAGAGGGCCCATTACAGGTCCCAGGGGATGGCGTATGCCCTTGCGTGACCTCAAACTGCACACCTCCGCTCAGGTTACAGCTAGGCCCCCGGAGCGACTGAGTCGCCACCAACACCTCCTTCCCTTGGTGTCCATTTCTCTCCGGGGGATGAGTGTTCGGGGCAGTGCGAGAACCAGAGCCGGTGGCGAAGGGACAGCGCCATCCCTTTCTAAGAGCCACAGAGAGATCTGGAAACTCCCCAGGTCTCCCTGCTCCCTCTCTGCCCTTGGCAGTGAAACAAAGAAGGGAAATTACAAAGGTGACTTCCAGGTTTCCAGAGTGAACTGAATGGCTGCAGATTAACTGCCAGGATGTACAGTGTTAGAAGCGGGCAGCCCTGAGGGAGGGTGCAGGCGGCCTGCCCTTTTTTGCAGTATCGCCGGCCTACCTGGGGCCTCAGTAATGCCCTGGCCAAGGGGGCCTGCACTGCAGCCAGGAACAGAAACCAGAACTCTCGGTCCAGTCACCTGGGCAGCCAAGTCCCCTGGCAGAGGATTTCTTCCACCTCTCACTTGGCAGAGGCGTCGAGGCAGGGAGGCGCCCTGCACGGTACCCAGCCTCTGAATTATAGATGCCTCCGGCTCCCAGCACTCTGGCGCCCAAGGAGGGAGGCCCAGGAATTGATGGGGTGCTGCGGCTTTGCCAATCGAGCTACTTGCCCTGAAAGTCCTTTATTTTGGGGGAGCCTCTTTCCTAGTTAGCCCACCTTCCCCTGACCTCCGTGCCTTGAAAGGACAAAGGAGAGGGACCAAGTCTAGGCACCCGCCATGGTGACGCTCCACTGGCAGACACTAGGGCTGAACTGAGGAGTGGGCACAGACATGTTGGCAGGGGTGGTCCTTTGTTACTCCCCTTCTACTTCTGTGGCCCCTGCAAATCCCCATCCCAACCCCCAGAGAGTAGGAGGGGCCAGACACTAGAAATGGATGCTCAGGGTTGGAGGAGTGGACGGAGGGAGGAAGTGGACAACCGGGGTCCCCTGGGAAGGCCCCATGGGATGCTGGGGGTACGGAAGACCCACTCATTTCTCAAGGGGAGCCGGTCTAAGACATTCAGCATCCTGTTAGGGATCAGCACCCACAAAACTCACCTCCGGCAGCAAGGCCGGAGCCCAGTCACATGGCTGTCCGAGGTGAATATTCAGCAAACCGGACGCTGGCCCGAGACCTCAGGACAGGGGCTGCAGGAAACCATCTGAACCACTGATGTGAAACTCGGCTTTAGTGTGCACAGAGCAACCTCACATTCATGAGAGAGGAAGGGGGTGGGAGGACAAGGAGGACATGCTGGGCAGGGAAGGAGAGCGGGAGCGGGGTGGGGCAGGCAGCGAGGGGCAGGGTCCTTTGCCACTGGGAGTCAGGGCATGGTGGAGGCAGGCTCTTGCTTCATCAGATGGTCCTCCTCTGGCCCCCATTCTTTGCTTCCTTCAGTTCCATGGGTCCTGTTCACTCCCTGGCAGAGCGCAGCCCTGGGCCACCCCTGCCCTGCTCCTTTAGATGTCTTCCCCGGGGCTGAAGCACTGGGCCTGCAAGGTGAGAAAGGGTGTGGTCGCCCTGGGCCCTGGTGCTCCCTGGTTCTCCAGTGTCCATGCACCATCCAGCACAGCCTCCCTGTGCCAGCTGCTGAGTGACGGGACTCCTGGGGCTCAGCCCAGGCAGGGCAGCAGGCCACGGGCCACACCTCTGCCTGGTCCCCTCCAACCCCTCGCTGCTGGCTGCTCGCAGCCCCAGGGCAGTGTGAGAGGTGGGCCTGCCTCCTGGCGTGGCCAGGCCACAAATCACTTTTCCTTCTTTTCATGACAAATACAGTTTCCCACCAAAAGACTAGAGTGATCCAGTTCCTTGGGGACTGAGGGTGAGGTTAACTCGACAGCTTTCCCAGGGACTTGCGAAATCTGAGACCTAAGCCACAGCCTGTGGCGACATGTCAGTCCCATGTCAGAGGTTACAGGGGAAGGACATGCAGAGAGAAGGCAGAGGAAAGGCTGCTCATCTCCACCAAGGGCTGGGGGCCCCGAAGGGAAGTGCCCCTAAGCCAGCCAGCGCTGCTCCTCGAGGAATGGAGGCCAGAGGGAGGATGCCAGGGCAGGGCCACAGGCGTGGGTGCCAGGCTGGCCCGGCGCCTCGGTTCTGACATTTACACGCTGCCTGCCTGTGAGATGGGGCAAGCTAGTTAACCTCCCAGTGACCGGGTTGCCTTCTCTGTGAAATGGGGACATAGTAACACCCGCCTCCCTCTGGGGCTGTGGGACTCGTGTAGAAATAAGTATTAGCTGTGAACAGCATCACCTCAGTGTGAGAAAGGGAGGTGTGGAGGTTGATGCTCCAGAGGTGGAGGGAGGGCCCGGCGGCTGGGAGTGCTCCTGGCAGAGCAGGCCAGCTTCAGCCTGCAGGGCGGGCAGGCAGAGGGGGGACAGCTGGCGCCTCTGGTGCCTGGGTCTCCCCTCTCTGGGCAAAGTTCCTCTGCATCTGCTCAGTAGAGGCTTCTCTGTACCCCACGCCACCCACCCACACTGGTATCTCACTCTTGGTAAGAATGCTGAAGGCCTCCAGGCCCTCCCTTCCCCCACAATGCCCGCTCCAGCCTTTTCCAGCCCGAAGCCCAGCAGCTGCAGTGGGGGTGGACACGGTGGGGGCGGGGGGGGCGTGCTCTGGCTCTGGTCAGCTGCCTGACCACTTCCCTCCCCTCCCAGGTCCGGAGGCTAGAGGGGCACCACCTGGGGCCGGCAGTGGGTCAGCAGCTCCTGCCAGCGGATGTGGGTCTGCGTAGCCAGGTCCTTGAGCGTGGTCCGGTGCATGGCCTGGGGGCTCTCCCGGATATGGGTGCTGATGTGACGGTCCAACTGCATACACAACAGCCGCAGCTCTTCCTGCAGAGGCACCGTGGAGGGGCGGCCGGAGAAGTCAGGCAGGAAAGAGGAGAGGGACAGGGCAAGTGCTGGGGCACATGTCAGTAACTCTTGAGAAGGCCCCATGGGATGCTGGGAGAAGGCAGAGGCCTGCTCCACGCTCCCCCCCCCCCCCCCAGCTGCTGCTGCTTCTTTCTCAGCCCCTCTTTGCAGTCCCTGAGAGCAGGGTGGGCTCCGCCCCAGCTGACTATAGCCCAGCCTCTTGGGAGACTCACCCGCTGGTCTGGAGTGATGTCTTGGCAGTTGACCACCACCCCCGCGAGTGTCAGGAGGCTGTGGCACAGGTAGCAGACCTGGAGAGAGCACAGGAGACGGGCGTCCCTGAGTCCCTCACCCCAGTCCTCCTTCCAGGCCCTGCAGGGTGAGGGCTGGGCTTCCAGCCAGTTTCCTGGGAGGCGTCTTTAAGGAGCCCAGGGCCCCACTCACAGGGCTCTCCCTTCCTTCAGAAAAGGTAGAAACCCCTCCAGAGCCCACGCTGCCCCAGCCCTGTTCGGGGCTCCAGTGGAAGGAGTGCCGCTAGGGAGGGGCTATCCACTCTGACTTCTGCCCTGCTCCTCAAGGTGCCACCTACATCTGTGGGCGCTGTCACTGGGGCCACTCTCCTCGATTGGGGGGGCGTGGCCCATGGGTGCCCAGCTCACCCCTGGGTGGAACACTACTTGCACAGATATGTGCAGTCCATCCAGACATTCAGACCTGCAGACACGAGGAGGCAGGCGAAGAGGCGGTGACAGAGTGATGGCTGTGGGTGCGCATCTGCACGCCTTACCCACCAACGCATACCCTTGCTCTTGCCCTAGAGACTGAGGGGTGCCATTTGGTCAGAGTGGTGTGATCCCAGGGCCCTGGACTCTGTGGGTGCTCACTCATCTGCTGTGCAGAGAAAAGGAGGCGCTGGGAGCACCCTAAAGACAGGCGAGGCCCTGCTGTGGAGACGGTCTGCTCCCGGCACTCTGAGGTTCTGTCTGTGGACACCCCCACCTCGGACTCCTATGCCTGAGACAGGGAGGGTGGCAGGAAATGACCCTGACCTGCCTGGTAGCTGCAGATAACCAGCCCTGAGGCTGAGCTGGAGGGAGAGGCGGCTCCAGAATGGGGCTGGAGCTCCGAACCAGCCCAAGGCTTCCCCTGCCATCACTTCCCCTGAGAGCACCAAGTGGTACCCAGAAATGGGGCAGCCTCTTTGCACAGACCAGAAGCCTCCTTAGGGCAGAAGCTAGAACCACTTTCGAGGGTACCAGACTTGGCACTGTGGAATAGTCTTCTTGAATTCAAATGCCACAGTGCGAAGGCCTGACGGAGACCACCTGCCCCTCCCCCAGCAGCACGTGCCCTGCGCAGACCCAGCCTGTTCTTCAACATGGCAGCGAGGCCCCAGGGGGCCTGACCGGAAGACTGGCAGGCACAGAGATGCAGTGAGGGGGAAGCAGTGCGGGTGGGGGTCACGCCTGGCTTCTCTGAGCCAGCTCCGACTGCAGGGTCCTGCAGCTGCCAGGCCCCCAGCAGGTCAGCTCACCAGGGAGCTAACTTGCTAGGAACCCCCTGCTCCCCGGGGGCTCCCTGCTCCCCAGACTGACCGTGCCCCTTTGGAGGGAGGGCCACAGCATTGGAGCCCTGTGACCTCTGCAGTCCACCACGCAGCTCATCCCCACTTCTCCCCCACCCCAGACGTAAAGCAGGCGCAGGCCTGTGTGCCCACTGCACTTGGACTGAGACACAGCCACCAACCTTAGACATTAGAGGAGAACGATGCTGCAGGAAGGCAATCATTTGGCCACAGACCCTGAATTTCAGCCTCCCCAGCGCGCAAAAGGAGAAGGGTCCTTCTAAGTGCCTGGTGGTGTTGTGCAGCTCAGAGGCTCAAGGAGGAAGTGACTAAGCTACAACAGGCTTCTAAGGAATAGTAGGGACTCGGTGAGGTGGTGAGGTTACTATGTGGGGCCGGGTGGGCAGGGCTGATTCAGGGAAACAGAGGCAGGAAGCTGGCTGGGGTGGAGCGGGGGAGGGGCACCCTGAGGACCGGGCTGGTGGCAGGGTCTGGGCAGTGGGCAATGAGAGCAGGGAGGCTGGCTGAGTCACTCCAGGACTCTCTGGTATGCACACTGTTTTGAGCTAAAGGCAACTTTAGCCTCAGGCTCAAGAGAAACTTCTGCCCCTCCTTTTAACTACCTGGAGAATTTGAATCAGGGCAGTGGTCGGCGAACTCATGCGAACTCATTAGTCAACAGAGCCAAATATCAACAGTACGACGATTGAAATTTTTGAGAGCCACATTTTTTAAACTTAAACTATATAGGTAAGTACATTGTTATTAACTTAATTAGGGTACTCCTAAGGCTTAGGAAGAACCACACTCAAGGGGCCAAAGAGCCGCATGTGGCTCTCAAGCCGCAGTTTGCCGACCATGGAATTAGGGGCCTTGCCGAATTTGACCTATAGAAAGGTCAAAAGAGATGGGGCAAATATCTATTTGCTGAATGCCTGTGCTTCTTACCATCCACCCTGCCATGACCCTTGGAAGGACCCAAGGACATGACCTTCTCCCAGCTCAGAAGGTCCTACATACCTCAGCCCCCTTCTGTCCCTGAACCTCGCCCACATGTGGGTCTCTGACTCTCTCACGTGCCTGCGGGGTTCCTGTACATACGTATGTGTTAAATGTCATTTTCTCTTGTTAATCTGGCTCAGGTTTCTGATTATCAGGCCAGCCAGATGAGCCTTGAGGGTGAAGGAACCTTGAGGGTGGAGGAGAATCCGCTCCTCCCTGACGTGGGGGACAGATGGACACCGGAGAAGCGGGCACAGAACCGCGGAGGTGGGAACAGCAGTGGCAATGCGGCTCTGAGAGAAAAGGTTCTAGGACATCCTCCTCATTTTTTTTTCTTTTTAAGATTATTTCTCTACAATGTGTATACTTTACTCATATGATCAAAGTACAATGAAAGTTTATAAAAATTAATTATAAACAAGACAGTGCCCTTTAGAACTGACTAAGCCTGGCTGGGTTTGGGGTGAGTATGACCTTGGAAAGGAGCGGAGCCCACTTCATTGGCTCAGTGGTTGAGCATCGACCTATGAACCAGGAGGTCCTGGTCAGGGCACATGCCTGGGTTGCGTACAGGAGGCAGCCAATCAATATTCTCATCATTGATGTTTCTATCTCTCTATCCTCCCTTCCTCTCTGAAATCAATAAAAAAAATATTTTTTTAAAAAAGCAGCAGCAGCTGAGCCCTGGGGAGCTAGGGCCAGGGTGAGACGCTAAAGACAACATTCAGGGGCTGAGGGGCTGACGAAGGGCCCTAGCTGCAGGGTGGGTTCAGGGAGGGGCCGGGCAGAGAGGGAGAGAAAGGGGTTAGTTCTCATTCCTTTCACTTAGTTGTCCCTCAGCCCTGAGCTGGGGACAGTGGCTCTTCCCTCTGCCCGCCCGCTCAGTGGAGGTCTGTGCTGTGCACAGCAAGCCTAGGGCTAGAAGGGACCTTCCCCAGCCTGAATGGGTCCCTGGGGCCAGGCACCCTGCAGAACTCAGCTTCCTAGGAGACAGTGTGGTGGGGTGGGCCCAGGATCTGAGGAATGCCCTGGGGGAAATCTGTGAGGAGGGATTTATTGAGGAAAAAAGGACTACTTGTATGCAAATTTCACAACTTTGTTCTTTTGCTCTTTCTTTCCCATGATTGAGCTGGAGGAAAATCCCCTGAACGAGTTTTGGGGGTGGGAGTGTACCAGCAAGAAGGAAATGGTAGCTCTGAAGAAAAGCCCCACTAACCACGTTTTATTTTATAAGCTCATTTTCCAAAGTTGGGTGGGGAGGGGGACGGCTCCTACCCAGAAGAGGGGTTGGTGCATTTTCTCCTTGCATTCGAGGGTGATGCCTGGAATCGGGGTTCAGTGACGGGGACCCTTTAAGGAAGACCTTGACCCCACTTAAGGGGATCCTTACAACTTTGATTAAATTTAATTTTGAATCCTAGCGCTAGAAATCATTTCTCTCTATATATATACCCCTCAGAGACCTAGCCTTTTCTCCAATAATCCGCAGCCCCCGAGGCAGCAGAAGACAGAGCCTGGGCCCTGACAAGGCTCAGACCTCTGCAGGTTAAAGATAACATTTTCACCCAAATTATGTTTTAGCTCCTTAACCCTAAAGTAGAAAGACCCCCCTTGGCTACTTTCCACAAAATAAGAGCGGAATGCTGTACAGACCTCAGCGGTCCTCAGACCTGACCCATCAGCGATCAGCTCCCAGCACAGCCCACATCCCTAAGCCAGGGTCCTGTGATTGTGCCCAACAACCCATACACCATCGAGCTGTTGGAGCTCCCTCTTTCCCGATTGGGCAATTCACTATGACACTATTTTTCCTTTTGTGGGGGTCCAGAACGAGTTACCCCAAGATGTGCTCTTGTGGTATGCAGACTATTTGGAGCTAAAGGCAACTTTAGCCGCAGGCTGAGGAGCAACTTCTGCCTCCCACCTGTAACTGCTTAGAGGAATTGGAGCTAGAGGCCTTGCCCACTTCAGTAATAATCCTTTCAACCCACCTAGACGGCAGGGCAAACTTCTAGTAAACATCTGCTCTTCTTTTTTTTTTTTGTTAATTGTCACCTGAGAATATTTTCCAACCTGCAACCCAGGTACGTGCCCTTGACCAGGCATCAAACTTGTGACCCTTCAGTACTTGGGCCAACGCTCTAGCCACTGACCACACCAGCCAGGGCACATCTGCCGTTACTGTCCTGCACTGAGCCTGTGAAGCTTCCACAGCAGATTATATACCTCAGTCCCCTCTGTCTCGGAACCTCGCCGGCATGTGGGGTTCCCATACACATGTGTTAAATGTGGTTAATTTCTCCTGCTAACCTGTCTCAAGTCTATTTGATTATTAGACCAGCCAGAAGTTGTGCACCTTGAGGGTAGAGGAAAGTTCGCCCACCCCACTTCCTGCTCCTGCATTTCTTTGTCCAGTGCACCCAGGCAGGACTCAAACACTGGGATCCCTGGAACAGTTCCCTCCGCGGTCAGAATCTTGCCGGCTATTCTGTACAGCAGTGGGTTGGGGGAAAAGGCTTCACTATGTACACAGGACACGCCCAGACCACGTCCCGGTCCCTCCGCAGGCCCGAGACCCACAGTCTCAGCCCCGAGAGGTAAGAGAGCACCGGTGCGCGCCTCCCAGAAAAGCAGGCGTTAGCGGACACTGGGCTCTGGCTCAGAGGAGGCCGGGCCGGAGTCTCCATCCTCTGACAGTCCCACTGTGGCTGGGGGACCAGAGGCGGCCCGAGCGCCAGCCAGCCG